AAACCAAACGTCCTCCCAGGTCTGTTTTGCCTGTGCTTCTCTTTCACATTTGTGATGCAGCAGATGGTATGAGCTTCAGGGCAAAAAAAGATGATGACATACTCTCCATTAAAAGAACTAGTTTGCTGCAAATTAAGCAGCAGTTTTCAGCAAAGGAGTGTGCGAAAAACCAATGTGTTGCTTCTGTCAAAAACAGTTTGGTTTATGCCTGAAAACACATGACTGGGTTGAATCCTGCACCATTTCTCCGGTGTACTCCTAGCTGCAGTTTTCCATTTGTATTTGTTGAGGGGTTCATGAGGGCAGTGATAGGTCAGTCATTTTGAAGCCTAGTGTATTTCCCAAGAACAGGGCTTGCCTTAAAATATCAAAGTGCCTTACATCCACTGACAAACTCCGTCATGTCTTCTCTCTGGGTGATTGGTATATTGGGCAGTTGGCTGGGTGGTGGGAAACTGCTGGATTTTTTATCCAGACATTTGTTAATGTTACATTTCCACTGCTCCTGTTTTTTTTTGTTTGTTTGTTTTGTTTTGTTTTTTGTTTTGCTTCAGTTATCCCCAGCCAACAACCCAACAGACTGCTAGTTTTGTAGACTAAATCAACGTGTTGATTTGTGTTGTAATACTGGCCCAAGGAATTGTGAAATGTTATTTTGATATTTAACATAAATTTTTAATTAAAAAACAGCAGTGTTATCAATGAGTTCTCTGCTTTCTTGACAAACAAAATAAAAGAAAGCGGAGAGATAGTGGAAACTATAACTGCACAAAAGATACAAAGAAGGCATAATTAAACAAAGATTGAAAATATGTAAAGATAAAAGAAAGGATTTAGCAACACCAAAGCTCTGAAATTTATCCAATACGCTGTAAAATCTTATAAGTTCCCAGAACTCAAAAAAACTCGCAAACTCGTTGCCTCAAAAAATTAAGTAAAGCTTTCTTAAGATGACTGTTCGAACAACTTATTAATTGCAAGTATACAGTACTAAGAATAACTTTATGTTTCTGACTGTGCAATAATAATTGTTTATCCACTGACAAACATTTCAAGTTCTACAAAATTTAAAAAAAAAACATGTTGTAACTTAAAAAAAACACTTTATGTTTTATCATCCTTGAAATTTCTAGTACAACACTTATATTAATATAACACTGTATGCAAGTATGATTCAAAAAGAATAATTAACAACGCTTCTTGTAATGGTGTTAAAATCATCTCAACTTTTATTTTCAAATGCAAAAATGTATATCAGCCAACATACTGGATAATCAAAATAAAATGTATTTATTGTTTAGCCACAAGTATCTATTGTTTTGCATTCAAACACAGAAGCTTGCTATCTTCTAATATTTTCAGGATGGCTTGTTTCCATGCATTACTGTCTGAATGACTGTCATGATTTAACTGATCCAAATGTAAGTGCAGAAGAAAGTCTTTAACTTTCCTTCTCTTAAGTACAGTGGCAGTGGATGTGGGTTGGAGATTCAGTGATTTTGAACCTGCAGGCAATCTAAGACGAAAGTTATCCACATTACAATGCCAAAGTTGTTGTTGTTGTTTTTTTTAAAACTAATCTTAAGGTATCTTCAGGCTAATCATAGACAGTAGAAAGGATGGATAAAAAAAACAAAAATAGTAATATTCCAGCAGTGAGGATGCCAGTAAAACAGCATAAAATAACAGAAATTTACTGTCATTTTAAATTCAGTAATTTTCCTTAATTTAAAAATGGAAACTATCTCTATTTTTACAACACAGTAAATCAAAATACATTCCTCTAGCTTTAGATGCAATCTTGTGCTTTTTCATGTTAAATAAAGGGCATTTACCCTAAAATGATCAAATACTAGAATACAATTAATTAGCTTAAATCTGCAGCAAACCACTGTTATTACTTG